AATTGTATAATGTTTGGCCAGCCTATGAGACTGATTTACTAAAACTGAAGAGTGCAAAATCTGGTGCAGCTGTGCATGGAAGCCAATCAGCTTCTAACTGGCAGTACTAGGGTCGCTGGTTCAAATCCCGATCATGGCACCACCTGCCTGGAGTTTGCATGTCCTCCCTGTGCCTGCGTGGGTTTCCTCCGGATACTCCGGTTTCCTCCTACACTCCAAAGACATGCTGGTAGGTTAATTGGCTCCTGTCTAAATTGTCCCTAGTATGTGTATGAATGTAAGTTAGGGACCTTAGATTGTACGCCCCTTGAGGGTTAGGGACTGATGTGAATGTACAATATATATGTAAAGCGCTGCGGAAATTGACAGCGCTATATAAGTACCTGAAATAAATAATAAATAAAGTGCAGCTTGTTTAATTACCCCAGGTTCACACCTAAGTGATTTCCGCTTTTTGCGCTTTCAAGAAATGCACTACAGTCCATTTAACATAATTTCCTATGGGACAGGTTCACATCTCCGCGTTGTCACCCGCTGCGTTTTTTGGAAAGGGTCAGGGACTTTTTTGAAGGCAAAAAATTGCATTTTTTGGTTCTATAGACGTCAATGGAAATGCTGCAGAAAAGCATGTAGTGCGTTTTTGCTGTGTTTTTGATGCATTTTGCGTTTTAAATCTGCCTAGCAACAAGAAAAATAAAAATAAATAAAAACCACAAAACGCGGCAAAAACGCATGTGCAAAATGCAAAACACAATGCAGAAACGGCTCAAACACAAACCGCATAGGTGGGAATCTAGTATTAAGCTAAAAGCTGGAAGCTGATTGGTTACTATGCAGAGCTGCACCAGATTTTGCACTCTCCAATTTTAATATATCATCATAGTATGTCTCGTCTGCATTAGTCCTCATGCACACTGGACGTTTTTACAGCGGCTGTTGGCGGTTTTTTTTCTACAGCCAGTAAACCCCCCAGCATGTTATCCTATGTGTCCATACACACATAGACTGGAATCAACGTTTTATGGCTGGAAAAAACAAACAAGGACTAGTGGATTTCTAGAGTTGTTTAGCTGTAAAAATGCTCTAGTACTGTAAAACGCCACAAACTGGCGGTTTTGGACTTTTTTTGACCAAAAAAAATATTTTTTTTTCTTTGTAAATAAAACGCTAAAAAACGAAACGCAGGATAACGCGGCTAAATGCGATTGCATAAATGCTTAAAAAAAGCTGAAAAACTCATAAAAACGTTTTTATGACTTTACACAGCTAACGTTACCAGTGTGATCAAAAACATCCCGTGTGTATGAGGACTTAACCACATGTCGCCCAGCCACTGTATAAATACGGCGGAAGGGCAGCACGGCTGGGCAAAAGCACGTTTTAAAACGTGTGTTTTGTAAACAGGTAGGGGGCGCAACACCGCCCTACCTGTCCCACCGATCACAGCCGCGGATGTCATTCACCGGGTGTCAGCCGGTCGTTACCGGCTATGTCCCCGATCGGCGGCAATCGCTGACAGAGAGCACAGCTGCAGTAGCTGTGCTTTCTGTCAGTTCCCTGACAGCTCCAGGACAAGCTGATCGGGACAGAAGAGTTTCTCTCTCCGATCAGCGGTGTCCCCATCCAGCACACACCCCCGCCCCCTAGTAAAACACTCCCCTCACACAGTTAACCCTTCCCTGAATAATAAACTTAACTCCTTCCTCCCCAGTGCCATTAGTACAGTGTCAGTGTTTTTTTTTTTTGCACTGATCACTGTACTGGTGTCACTGGGGATGTCAGTGACCCCAAGTCAGTACCCCCCAATGTCAGAATGTCCACCGCAGTCCCGCAGTTCCGCCATAAGTCCCTGATCGCCGCCATAAGTCGCTGATCGCCGCCATTATTAGTATAAAAAAAAACTAAAAATCCCAGTATCTTTCCCGCCATTTGTAAACGCTATAATAACTTTCACGTAAAAGTCAAAAATATTGTTTTTCTTCAAAATTTTTGGCCTTTTTTTGTTTATAGCGTGAAAAATAAAAAGTGCACAGGTTATCAAATACCACCGAAAGAAAGCTCTATTTGTGTGAAAAAAGGACGTAAATTTTGTTTGGGTGCAGCATTGCATGACCGCACAATTATCAGTTGAATTAGTGCAGCGCCGAGTAGCAAAAAGAGGCCTGGTCATTAAGGGGGGTAAATCCTCTGGAGGGCAAGTGGTTAAAGTTCCTTACCTGCTCACGCGTAGCTCAGTGTAGAACTCCTGGCCATGTGGAACGGTGACATCATCTCAACCCAGCCAATGAAAAGCAAAGATCGGTACCCAGAAGCCTACTGAACAAAGATGCCAGCGGCCGATGAGGAGCTCCAGGACCCCGCATTGTTGGAGAGAAGATGAATATAGTCCATTTTAAAGCATTCTGGTTAACTCAATTTCAAGGATACAATCTCACTATAGTAGCACATAAATGCGCAATTTTGTGCGCAATCACAAAACGCATGTCACACTTGCAGTGCCATTCATTTAGATATGAGCTCATGTGGGTTCAGGCACGAGTCCAAACCCTCCTGAGTAGTGATGGGCTGCGTGTTCGAATCGAACGCAAGGTCAACTCAAACATGGGCCGTTCATGTGTTTATTGAACACACTAATGGTATGGGCGCTCGGCGGGCCATTCGCCCAACAATGCACTGTGCCCTGACAGTGCATTGTGATTGGCCAAAGCACCACAGGTCAGGTGCAATGCTTTGGCCAATCACAGGGCATGATGACATCACACCCTATTTAAGAACTGTCATTGCGGCACAGCTATCTGACGGTGGGAACCAGCGTCGAGGGAGGACCATTTTTTTTTTTCTTTTTACGGGGTGGCGGCGGGCGGCGGGCGGCTGGCATTGTGATTGACGTTGGATCTACTTCGTGGGACATTTTATTTATTTCTAATAAAGGACTTGTCAAAGACTGTCTCCTGTCATGTTTACACTACACTTTTTTTGTGAATGGGTAGTGGTACCATGTACCCCATAGTCATTCAGATGGGGTGGGGGGCCCCGGGATCTGGAGGCCCCCTTGTTAAAGGGGCTTTCAGATTCTGATAAGCCCCCCCCCCACAGACCCCCACAACCACCAGCCAGGGTTTTGGGGAAGAGGCCCTTGTACCCATCAACATGGGGACAAGGTACTTTGGGGGGGAGCTCCCCCTGCCCCAAGGCACGCCCCCAAGTTGAGGGCATGTGGCCTGGTATGGTTCATGCAGGGTGCTCACTCATCCCCCCACTTTCCTGACCTGCCGGGCTGCATGCTCGAATAAGGGTCCAGTATTGATTTTTAAGGGGACCACCACGCCATTTTTTAAAAAAATGTTGGCATGGGGGATTCCCCCTCAAAATCCATACCAGACCTGAAGGGCTTGGTATAGATGGGAGGGGAGACGCACGCTGTTTTTTTTTTTTAAAAAAAATGTAATTGTCGGGTAATGCCGACAATTCTTTTGACATTAAGCTGTCAGCAGGGAACCCCACCGACAGCTGAGACATGAATGAATGTTTCACTACTAAAATGACTTAATATAACTCATGCGGTATTTTAGTAGCTGAGCGGTATCTTATCGCATACTCCCCCTTTTCCTGAGTTATCTGGCTGTGAAGCTTTCAAAGTGGACAGCCAATCATAGGCAACGGAAGCATTCCCCTCACTACATCTGCAGCTACATGTATGCAAAGTGCATGTATTTCAACATCTGCATGGAGGGGAATGCCTCTGCCGCATATGATTGGCTGTCCACCTTGACGGCTTCCCGGCAAGATATCTCGGGTGGGTTTGGACTTGTGTCTGAATACATCAGAGTTCATTCTTGCAGCAATTGCTAATGATGTGTCAAACAAGGCATGCGTTTTTTGTGTGTGCAAAAAACAAAAACTGTTGAAAAAACCTCCAGTTAAAAAATGCACAAAGCTGAAAAAAGTGCATGAGCGTCTTTGCCACGCCTGTCGCACATAGAGCAACCCATTGAAATTAATGGATTGCCCTATAAATGAAGAAAAAAATAGCATGCAATAAAAAGCGCATACACACGACGCCTGACATTGCACAGCATGATGTGGATGGAGGATAACTGTGTGCTGATGTCCCCTGTATACAGACTTTCCAAACAAAATATTGATTTTTATGGTACACATTGACTGAAAAATGGCATATTTAAAAAAATATATTATTTAATCCGGAATAAATAGTAAAAATATTTTTAATATTTATTCTAAAATAAAATAAATACACATTTTTAATTTAGGGTTGTAATTATAAAAAAAAAAATTCACATAGCAATTCGCTCAGAGAAAGTGCACGTCCATTTGTTCTGCGCAAAAAAAAAAAAAGAAAAAAAGACTGTTTATAGGCGATTTCTTGTGCTGGTCATTTTTTTTTACTTACTTATGAAATAAGGATGGGGTGATGAAGTACAGGTTTGCTTGCTGGAAATGCTACACTGTTTTCATGTTTATTTTCTTTAGCTATTTATTATAACAAGCTCTAAAAATGCATTAAAAAAAAAACAAATATATATATATATATATATATATATATATATATGCTGTATATATTTTGTTTTATATATTTTGTTTAGTCCCATGAATATGAGATATTGCATATGATTATGTTGTACTTTCATATGCAGCCAATAGGTGGACCTCTGAGCTCCTTTTTGGTTGTTTTCCATGCTATCCATATCTTCTTTGTTGAAACATTTCTCTTTCCAACATCCAAGAGAATCCAAAGTTTCAATAAGAGACAAGATGCCTAAAAGAATGTAAATTAGTTGTGCCCTGCCAATCCTGTGCAACTAAATGTATACGCTTACAGTGTTACTAAACCCACAACAGTACAATCAGTCTGTATATGCAGCAAAGCATGCTTGTTATACTCACTGTGGAACCTAAGGGGTTAATCTTCTGCATTGTGTAAAAAGGCTGTTTGATCCTATCTTCTCTGATTCTCCCCTTTTTCTACTGTCCCCAGTCCCTCTGCTGATAATACAGAACTCTAGGAGTCACTCTGCACATGCTCAGTTTAGTGTGTATTGCTAGGGAGGGTACATGTGATCAGCACAAGGCCAATCAGCCCTATGCAGCCTCACAGGACAATCAGGGACAATGAAAACTCTTCCCACAAGCTTTAACCAGTGCTCTGCTGGACACTGATAGAAGTCACAAGACTGCTCTAACTGCTGATGAGAAAATTTATTTAGCAGTTTATATCTACTAAAATAATTACATTTCTATGTTTTGTGTACTGTGGGAGACCAGATATAGTGAATGCAGGGTCCGGGGAGACCAGATATAGTGAGTGCAGGGTCCGGGGAGACCAGATATAGTGAGTGCAGGGTCCGGGGGAGACCAGATATAGTGAATGCAGGGTCCGGGGAGACCAGATATAGTGAATGCAGGGTCCTGGGAGACCAGATATAGTGAATGCAGGGTCCGGGGAGACCAGATATAGTGAATGCAGGGTCCGGGGAGACCAGATATAGTGAATGCAGGGCCCGGGAGACCAGATATAGTGAATGCAGGGTCCTGGGTTTAGTAACACTTTAAAACAGAATATAGAGCATTTGGCCACTAGAGGGGAGTAAATATCATATGAGTGGCCAAATGCATTTTTTCCCCCATTTAATTCAAATTAAATATTCGAACACCACAGGAAATAGCCTAGTAACAATCATTTTTGTGCCCCATTGACATATAACTCATATTTATTGTCATTTCCATGTGGATATGTTTGTTTTGTTTTAATTTTACCAATAAATACTACACTGTATACTGCTGTTCTTGGGCTCTGTATTGCGAGTACTTCCTACAGGATCCTATATTGGCATACCGTGTGATAGTTCAATAGCGGAGGAGCCACATATTCCATAGAGGGGTTTTTCTGTCCAAGGCCTGGTTTTATTGTAGTTCTGGTGAGTGCATAGTGGTGGAGGATTGTCACGGATCATTTTTCTCACACCGATGTCACTTCTTTCATGAGTGCTGGTTATCACAGCCGTATCACTGAGGAACATTTGTTGTACCCAAGGACACTTCACTTGGGGCTTTTATACATAATATAAATATTTTTTTGTGTATTATTTGTTTATTTTATGAGCACATATATGATCATGATTTATGATATGTGTCTGTCTATTGTATGTGATATTTGATTTTAGCACTGTACCTTTATATATTATATAACTCATATTTGCATGCTCTTTCACTGGGTGACTTGCTATGCAAATATTTTATAACTGCAACCTTAGGGCTCATGTACACGGGGCTTTTGGAAAACTCTTCTGAATGATGGAAACTGACTGCTGGAAAAACGTAGGTTAAAAAAACGTCAGTTTAGCCGTGTTTGCATACTGCGTTTGCATTTAGAAGCATTTTTAAAAGATAACCTCAGGAGACCTTCCAAAATGCCCTGAATCCACTGAAAAAGAGTAAAAAATTAACTATTTCAGACATTTTGAGAGAAATAGAGAGAGCAGAAGCAGAGAGAGCAGTATGTGTTGATATGAGCTGTCTTTTCTGGTTGTATTGACTATGGATCCCATCATGAGCATAATGTTGCATGTTCTACCATTGTTTCCTTCACACGAAACCTGGAACTGACTGCGCTGGTGTGCTATATCCATTTGAATACCTGAAAAACGCTTTGCATGCATTTCTGATGATGAAAAAGCACTCATTAGCACTGAGCACTGTATTACTGTCACTGGTCATCGCAGTGTCAGTTAGCCAGTTCCTACCCAGTGTCAGTTAGTGTCAGAATGCCCACCTTGCTATCAAAGTCCCGCTACAAGTTTCTGATCTCCACCATTGCTAGTATAAAAAAAAATACAGTATACAGTATGTACCATCATTTGCAGACGATACCTGCTGTCACGGGGGGGGGGGGGGGGGGTAAGGTGACTGTATCCTTTACTACAGGTTCCCACTTAAGCGTTTTCCGCAACATTTTTGCGTTTTGCAGAAACACACTACAGTTCATTTAACATGATTTCCTATGGGACACGCTCACATCTCCGCCTTTTCACCAAGTGCGTTTTTTGGAAAGGTTCAGGGACTTTTTGGAACGCAAAAAGTTGTGTTTTCTGGTTCTATAGACTTCAATGGAAACTCTGCAGAACAGCATGTAATTCATTTTGCTGTTTTTTTAATGTGGTTTTTTGCTGCGTTTTGATGTGTTTTAAATCTGCCTAGCAACAAGAAAAATAATTTTTTAAAAACGCAAAACACGGGAAATACGCAAAATGCAACACAAAACGCAATGCAGAAACTGGTCAAATGCAAACTGCATAGGTGTGAACCTAGCCTTAAGCAAAAAGCCTCACCTGAATACACAGAGCAAATGTCAGCTGGTTCTTAATGGACTGGCTTTAAGAAAGTTTGCTCAGTGGGCAGTCCTGTCCAACATCCCTCAACTAAAAAATCAAAGGCACTATGGGGAAAATTGTTGGCCAAACAGCACCTGCAGGCACTGTTTGGGAAATCTGACAGCTGGTGGTACCCACTGTCAAAGTAGAGTAGCCTCAGTGGGAGATTCCTCCATCTGCACTATGTGGCATAAGTAGAAGAATGTGGTCCGCTGCCTTTGAGAATGCCCAATGGGAGGGACGAAACGCGTCAGAGGGAGCTGCTGGTGACGTTGCTTCCGTCGGTGGAACGCACGCAAGTGCACTAATTCTGGTTCGGCGTTTGTATGTTCATGCTTGGAAATCTGTCATTACATGTGAGTGGAACACAAATTGGTTTTGAATTACAATAAACGGTATTTTACTATGTGGGCCCCCGTTTCTCTTTGTTATACAATCATATGAGGAGTTTATAACTGTGAGTGGGAAGTCGGCAACTGGGGATCGAGTAAAGGACTGGCCCCCTAGGAGGACAAAAATCCCGGATGAACCTATTAAACACACAAGTGCAATAAACTCCTATAATATATTAAGAGTCTATGCAAGTTGGTGAGTAAGTGGGACCACCAGAGAGGAGCACCATGGATTTTTGCACTTTATGAAGAAATACTGCACATTTGCACATAAAGAAACTATATACCACTTAATTTAAAATGAATTCAATATTTATGGTGATGGTGCACTTGTATGACTATTGTGATATAGAGCACATTGCATGAATTTTTATGTGTATATCATGAGGTATTTACATGTTTAATTGGGCAGTGCTTCTTTGCTATAATATTAAGATGGATCCATGCTTTTATGTTGTATATACCAAATTCTGACCCTACCATCTGAATGTCGCAGCTGAAATTGAGATTCATCAGACCAGGCAATGTTTTACCAATCTTCTATTGTCCAATTTTGGTGAGCCTCCGTTTTCCTGTTCTTAGCTGACAGAAGTGACACCCGGTGTGGTCTTCTGCTGCTGTAGCCCATCTGCTTCAAGGTTCGCCGTGTTGTGCATTCAGCAGGGGCGGACTGACAACTCATGGGGCCCCCGGGCAATAAGGGATCATGGGGCCCCTGTGTCCTTGCCCAAACTCAAAAAAAGCCTATGAAAAAGGTACCAGGGGCATCTCATGGGGCCCCCTACTGACCCCAGCCCTCGGGCAGTGCCCGAGTTTCCAAATGGTCAGTCCGCCCCTGGCATTCAGAGATGGTGTTCTGCATACCTTGGTTGTAACGAGTGGTTATTTGAGTTACTGTTTCCTTTCTATCATCTTGAACCAGTCTGCCCATTCTTCTCTGACCTCTGACATCAACAAGGCATTTTCGTCCACACAACTGCAGCTCACTGGATATTGGAAGTTTTGAAATACTGAGATCAGCCTGTCTGGCACCAACAACCATGCCACAGTCAAAGTCACTTAAATCCCCTTTCTTCCCTATTCTGAAGCTTGGTTTGATTTTCAGCAAGTCATCTTCACCACGTCTAGATGTCTAAATGCATTGAGTTTCTGCCATGTGATTGGCTGATTAGCAATTTGTGTTATCAAGCAATTGAACAGATGTATCTAATAAAGAGGATATCGTATGTACGCTCCAGCGCCTCAGGATATGCACAGCCAAAAGGGAAGCCAAGGGTACCAGGACAGCGATAACCAAAGGAAATGCTCCAGGGGTGCAGCCCTCCTCAGACGAGGAAATCAGCCACTGGATAGAGAGAAAACAGGTGGCGCACACACCTAGTGCATTATCCAAGGTTTATTGTAGGAGTGAAATAATAAAAACATACTCACAGACAAAGCATGTATCTAAAAAGCATAGAAAAATGACAATGGCCACAACGGCAGGCAAGGTGTTCTCACTGTCAGTGCGGTCAAATGACTGACGCGTTTTGGGGACAAATCCCTTTCCTCAGAGCTGATGACCAACCTCTGATGCTGATGTATGATGAATGGAAAGTAAGAGCCTTGCTGTTGATGCCTCTAATAAAGAGGCAGGTGAGTGTATATGGCAAGCTTTAGAGAGCCATAGCACAGTCTGTAAATACTAATAATGGAATGGAGTTATGGCAAGCAACCAGCTTGGGGCAGGGGCAGATGGTGGCTAGGTAATAGTAGGACCTGGTGGTGGTTGTGGAGGGGGGGTATGCCCTGAAAGGGTCCATGATGCAGCTGGGCTACTGTAAAGCAGTCCTTGGCTGGGACGCAGGACCACATCCAGGAAACTAGTGTTATTATTGAAAAATTTTTCATCAGCGGGGGCAGCAATAAAAACCCAACGGGGTTTTAACCCCTCAACACTCCATCCAGATCTAAAAATGTTGTGTTTTGGCGTTGGACACAATTTAATAAATATAAACTGGATACACTGTGTTTTTGAACCTGAAATTAAAGTGGAGGAATTGACTTGATGTGTCAGATGACATACAAGTAACATTATGAGTAATTGGACCTCCATTCTATGCTCTGATTGCATAAAAACAGCCAAATTCTCACTGGTTGTAGGTGGCTAGGGAATTTGGGATTTGCCATTTTTATAAAATATATATTATAAGCGTCTAATGATTTCCTCTCAGCTGTTCTGTTCCCAGCTACCCATCCATATGTAAAGCAAACCCAAGCTATTGATATCTTTGATGTTCTACTCATACCTAATAGCACAAGTGATGATGATAATTTCAAAGGTCTGGTAGATGGGGCATGGGGACACGATGGGCAACCCGTTAGGGATCTGTGATTGTAAAAAATGTAAGAACCCCTGGTCAAATGCTTAGAAGACGAGCTTTGATTAGTCGGTCTTACAGAAGCAGAATAGTAAATAGGAGAGGAAATAAGTGAAAGGCAACAGTAAAATTGTGAGCTGAGCGCCCTCTAGAGGAGATCCATGAATTTCTCTTCACAAAATTTTGGCTTTGGCAATAGTTTATGGAGTTCCATCAGATGCCCCTTTTGCTCTGACCCAAGCGACATCAGCTGAAGAGGGGACAAGGGTCACCGCCTTAGTTCATCTTCCAAGAAATATTTTAAACTGACTTGATTAGTCCATTGTTCTGTCCCAGGGCTTCCTGTTGATACGGTTTTGG